CAGTTTCAGAGCAGGATGTTGAAGTGAGTGCAGCCAGCTCTGGTAGCACATATACTAGCAGGCCCAGGCAAAACAATGAGGCCTTTACTTCAGATGTACGGAGCCTGTCTGGTGACATTGATAAGAAATAAAAATAACTCATTCCCACGCATTAGAAATCGTGGCCACGAGTTATTAATGCGTGGGAACGACATCGTTAAGTCGTGGCCTCGCATTACTATTATGAAGAAACAAGAGAAGCTGTGGAGCAAATTTCACAGTGCGGTCACACCAGCTGTGGATTCAGGATAACTTCAGGGCGTACTTGCATGAAACATGGAGCATTTTGATTTGATTTCATTTTATTCTAACCTTGGAATGAACGACACCGATATCCTGCGATCTCTTGCGATGAAACACGACGACTTCTAATGCGTGGGAATGAGTTACTTTTATTTCTTATCAATATCACCAGACGGGCTCCGTACAGATTAGAGAAAACACAACCCCAGGAATGGAACACCTTTAAACCCAACGATGTGATTGGCTGGACTGAGTGGAGCTTTTGCCGTATTACCTGGAGTAGCAGCGCCCGCTGAAAAAATGCTCCATGAAAATCTGCTCTCGTGAATTCATCAGAGATTGGTCACGGGTCCGAACCATCACTCGGTCCAGATCTAGACTGAGGTCCACTATTTGGTGATGCCTCATCTAAACATTCACATTAACGGAGGCGTTTAACACATCATGTGACTCTCCTGCAGTGAACGGAGCAATCAGGTTCCTCCTGCTTCAGCCAGCAGCTTGTTCTAATGAGAACAACGAGGACCATCAAGAACTGTTACTTTAAAGAGCTGCTGCTGGAGACCTGCTCACCATGTGCTCACCATGTGGTCACTATGGATGGTCCTGATCAATGCAGCTGGTTATTGATCACTGACAGCTGATTATTGATCACTGACAGCTGGTTATTGATCACTGACAGCTGATTATTGATCACTGACAGCTGATTATTGATCACTGACAGCTGCACATTAAAGCTGTTAAAGTTTGTATATTTAAACATGATGTTGTATTGAAGGTCCTTTATATCTGACACATAAACAGAGAGCCACCTTTATGATACTGAAACCCTGACTGTGGGCTCGACCTGCTAACCCTCCAATGCTGCTCCGTAGTTCAGAACTCAGAGCAGCTCAGAGCTGCTGCCAGCTAAGGTGGTTCTGGTAGATGGTCTTCATGGATTTATTAAGTCAAACAACAGCTCGACTCATCCAGAACAAGAAACAACCGTTTACATTTGCCACTTCAGCATGTTTCACTCATAAACTGGAGGTAAAAGATCCAGATGGTCTGTTACCTGTTGGCCACCATTAACTGTGTCCTCATGGTCCCACGGGTGTCTTCTGTCTTCCTGGAAACATCAAGTGTTTGCCAGGGTCTAACTTCATGTGAAATCCAGGGACATTCTTACGATTCATTTCATGTCACTCCTTCAAACGTAGCATTCAGAAACAACACAAACACTTGATGTCGGTGTGTGGTTGGTTCACGGGTTGTTGAGGCGCTTCCTGTCTTGTGTTTGAGCCGTCTGATTGGTGTTTTCCCGGCAGTCTGATGAATGAAGACTTTAAGGGACGAGTGACTGGTTGGGGGAACCTGATGGAAACCTTCAATCCAGCAGCAAGAAATTTACCCACAGTCCTCCAGCAAATCCACCTACCAATCGTGGACCAGGACATCTGCCGCAGCTCCACCTCCGTCAAGATCACAAACAACATGTTCTGTGCTGGTAACACTTCTGTTTCTACATTTGTTCAAGTAGCAACAAACTGCATGTTGTATTTTCACCCAGAACGGACAAGTCCAAGCTTTAAATTCAAATGTCCTGAGACTGAACTCATGAAATTAAGGTTCAGACCTGTTCCCCAGAGGACGGATCTTCCTGAAACTATTGATCCTCAGATGTTTCCTCCAGCACTACTGTGAGGATCACTACCGGAGAGATCTGCAATGAAATGTGACCCTTCCTGGTGGTTTCTAGGGGAATCTCCCAAGCTGTCCAGGTTTAGCTGTAAATACAGACTCTGTTTCAGGTTTTAAACCAGAAGACAGCCAGCGTGGCGACGCCTGCGAGGGAGACAGCGGTGGGCCATTTGTGATGAAGGTGACAGCCTCTGCACATTTACTTTCACTGTATAACAACGGTCTTAGAGCTGCATTTAAAGCTGAATAACTGCTCGTGTAAACATCACAGAGCCGTGACTCGGCATTACGTTTGCCTCAAAACTGAGCCCCAACTAATACACTATCTGTGACGGGGGTTTCAGGTTTTGTTGAGCCAGCTAATACAAACAAAGCCGGACTATGTTGCACTGGCTTCATAGACCAGAAAATAACAATTGGAGGTTTGGAAGAGACGTATTTATTAAAAACAGCAGCTTCTAATGTCACATATCTGTAGCTTATAAGCTGCAGTTTAGTGTGAGTCAGTGAGACGGCTAGTTTGTCTGATGATATTTAGTCAGTCATCATGGAAGACAACTGGAATCAAGACTTTTTCACTTTCTTTAAAAATGACCAATTACTGTTTAAATAGATTTAAATCAAATCTAAAGCTTTTGATATTTTTTTGCACATTTTTGGAATATTTCAGACCTTTTGAGCATTTGATTAAATCTTTTTTAATATCCTATTTTACGGATAAAGTGAGGTAATTTTTTCAGCACTAAAATGTCCTGTAAATGCTCAATAGCAGACTGAAGTACCTTCCTGTGTCCCGTGCAGTACCCGGCAGAGAACCGATGGTATCAGGTCGGCATCGTGTCGTGGGGCGAAGGCTGCGACCGCGATGGAAAGTACGGCTTCTACACTCACGTGTTCAGGATGAGCAGGTGGATGAGGAAAGTTATCGAGAAGACAGGAGGAGACGACGACTAGACACGAGACCAGCAGACATCATCACTTCCTGTTCTGAGCAAGATGCTGCCAATAAAGTTTGTCCACATCTTACCTCTGGTCTGACTGAGTCTCAGTACAAACCTGTGAAATAACAGAGAAGTCAGAATATTTCAGGGTTTATGGAAGCAAAGCACAAATTCAAAACCTCCAAACCAGCAGCAGGTGGTGGAAGCGAGCAGTGCTGATGTTCACATCGGTGCAGGAATGAACACACACAATAGAGATGAACGCTGCGTTTCCTCTCTGACCAAACAGCGTCCATCAGCCTCCTCCGGCCATCTCATTAGTGCTCTACAGCTGTGGTGACACCACAAAGTCTGACAGTGATCTGAAAATGGCACAAAACTGAACTCCCCTGTGAAAGCTAAGCTGGTTTATCTCACCGTGTTCAGACCTTCACGTTTCGTCCACAGCTCAAAACAATCATTGATTGTTGTGTCTGAAAGCAGTGACCAGTCCAAGCTGGCGTCCTTGTTCTGAGCAAGGGTTAG